TCCTGGACTAAATGATCATTATGGTCTCTGCTTGTCTCAGAGGCTAAAGATTTTAAGTTTAAGTCAGGGAGAACAGGAATTTTATTAGTACTTTTGAAATTTGAATTCTAACAATAAATGTACAACTTGCACATTTTCTGAGGTCTTGAATATAGTAAGTCCTTAACCAATATTTGTTGAAAAGATGAATAGATATCAATGAAAACTATCACAAGAAAAGTAGGAGATTTTGATAAAAAAATAAGCAACTCTGGGAAGATGTATGATGAGTGAAAAAAGGAGGACCAAGGGAGCAATTTATATAACAGCAACATTGTAAAGGTAAAAATTAACAACTGCTAGCTGTAAGAACAAGCTGTCAAAAAGTCATAATAAGGTTATATAATGTTTTAAGGGCAATATTAAAGGCCGGTTAGTCGAGATTTATGGACTTTGTTGTGTGACATGCCTTGAAGTCGTCTGTTTCCTATAATGAGATCATTTCAGATCAAGGAGTGTGTACTTCAGACCAAATCTTAAAATCTAAAAAGTACTGAGGAAAACATGGATAACTAAAATGCCTAGATAATTGAAAACAAAACCATAACACACATGATGTAGGTCATGAATGTCAACCTTCACAGAATAACAAAATTTTAGAGCTGGAGGTATGCTGGTGGCCATCTAGCCCAACACATTCCTGGGGGGAGAGGGGGAGGGAAATCTACAATATGTCCAAGAAGTCGTAGGCCAACATTGTATTCATGATTCCCAGTTAGGATAAACCACTACCTTTTGGGTCAACCTATTTCCATTTTTGATAGCTCTGTTAGCAAATATGTCTTCATATGATACTTAAATTTGCCTATTTGCAAATTCCATTTGTTGTTCCTAATTTTGCCCTCTGGGGCTACCAGAATGAATGTACCCCCCCTTTTTCATTTGACAGCCCTTTAAATACTTGAAGATGGCTATCATACCTTAAGATTTCTCATTTTAAAGTCTAAATATTTCAAATTTCCCCAACTAATCCACATACAGAATTACCTCAATGCCTCTCAACGCCTAGATAATCAATGTCCTTTCTAAAATACGGCTTCAGGAACTGAACAAAATATTCCAGAGTGGTATGACCATTCCAAAGTACAGCCAGATCCTCACCTCTTTATTCTTCTAATCTCTGGCTATAAATGCAACTTAATATTACATTAGGTTTTTTGACTGACAAGGTCAGCTCATATGGAGATTGCAGTCCATTAAAAAACAAAAATCCTTTGTAGTTTCACCATTGCCTAATCATGCCTCTCCTTGCAATTAATGCATTGCTTTTTGAACCTAAATACAATTTTTTTGTATTTATAACTTTCATTTTATTCAATCCCTTGTTCTGGCATATCAAGATCTTTTGCCTCTTGATCATTAAGCAGTGTGTTAGCTAACCTTCCCAGTTTTGTGTCGTTATGAAATTTGATAAGCATTGTATCTATGCATTAATTGATAAATCAAATATTTATTAAGTGCTTACTATGTACTAGACACTATGCTAAGTGATGCTGAAACAAATCACTATCAACAAAATTGGTCCCTGTATATAATAAAATTGAAGGAGGTCACATTATAACTGAGAACACAACATGTAAATAGCTAGGCACATATATAATATAGAATAAATGAAATGTAATCTCAGAGGAGACAGTATTGGTATCCACGGGGACCAGAGACTAGGAAGGGCTTCCAGCAGATGATGGGATTTGAAGTGAGGGTTGAAGGAAGGTAGGGAAGCTAAGAGGCTGACAAAGAAGCAAAAACATTTCAGGGAAGTAGATAGCCAGTCAAAAGGTGTGGATTTGAGAGATGTACTGTTGTATGTCAGTTACATCAAGTGGCAGTGGATTATGTAGAGAGTAGTAAAATGCAAGAAGACTGGAAAAGATGGGGAGAAACAAGGTTATGGAGAGCTTTAAAAGCCAAACAGAGAATTTTATATTTGATCCTGGATATAATAGTCACTGAAGTTAATTGAGTGGGGATAAAGCATTGGTTATGTCAGGGTCAGACCTGAGCTAAACACAAACAAACTAAACACACACACACACACACCCAAGACTTTGGCAGACTAGGGGATAGATTGGAGGAGAGAAAGGCTTGAGTCAGGGAAATGAACCACAACGCTATTTTAATAGCCCAGGCAAAAGGTAATAAAATCTTAAATTATTCTGAATATGTGATAACCCTACTTAAAGACCCCATACAGTTGTCAGTGGCTTGTCATGTCAGATTTTTATTTCTACCAGATCATCTGCTATAATTTATCTCTTTGCCTCTCCTTTTATGTTCTTTCTTCTTTAGCATGAGTCATCAACCTCCTACTCTAGGCTTTCTTCTATAATGTGCCATTATGACACTGGTGTTCCCCTTATACAAAATCCTCCTAAGACTCCACTTCATGCAAGCACCTTTTTCAGCATGAGTGCTTGGAATGAGGACTCTCATTTCAAAAAAGTCTGTTTAGTCACTGGAACTTCCTGAATCTTTTTAAACCTCAGAAGTATTATATTTTACACTAGCAAGTCAAGATCAGATAACAATTTGTCCCAACACAAGGCAGAAAGGTATGATATAAACAAACAGATTTTGGAATTGAAGAATATACAAAAGGATAATGCATCAGTTACACGGCTTGGCCTTTTGGAAGCTTGAAACTTAAAATGAATGACAATCAAGAATAAGTACATATGTTTGTCTTTTTTTAAGTTTTATTTAGAAGATGAATAGAATTTTGTTTTTTCTTCACTTACAAAATTTATTTGTTTAAATCATATCTTGATGACTGGCATGAGAATAAAAATCAAATCAAATTGAAAAAGCAGCCTTTGAAAAGTGATTCTTTGGTGGTCAAAGGTAGATAAACGTACTTACAGAATGTCCTCTATCACTTAGTTCCAAATTTTTTGCTACAAGAAGTCTAGGTATATAAGTTTTATGATGTTTACAAACACTTGGAAAGTTCAAACATAAGTTGTTAGTTTTTTTTTATTAATGACCGCTAATGACCACTAATAATTAATGACCACTAATGACCACATAAAAAGAATATTGTTTAGCTAAGTAACAATTATCTCGTTTGTTTGAAATACTAGTAGAAGATCATTTCAGAACTTGCTACCTTCCCCCACTGGGACCACATTAGGGCTTTAATAGTTAGCTGGTTTCAATATTTGTACTAATAAGACAGAAAGAGTTTGGCAAATTGAATGTTGAAGGCAGACCCAAGGAGGTGTTCTAAGATCTAAGATGAGTTTATTAAGCAAAACACATTCCATATCCCTGTGCCATTTGTCGAGAATCATTCATGATTAATAAAACATTTAATGGGTAGTCATGACAGTTATGACACTGGGTATTATAATAAAAAACAGACAAATCCAAATGGAAAGGATTCTACAATGGGCAATATCATAAAAGCTTAATTGATTCCTATTGCTGCTGAGTCCAAGAGCATATCTGAGTTGTTCAGGGGGGTGCAAAAAGCTGTCCTTGACTATAACTTTATCTTACATTACTAAGAGGGCAGGGCAATGACTTTGAATAATGCACAATTATATCTTATATTTCTATAATCAATAAAAACCAACAAAACGACACGCTGAGTACAACTTGGTTTGAACTATTTTTGTCAGAGGAAAGAAAATATTTATTTAAGCAAGATGTCCATATTTTTCATCTACTGGTAACTATATAAAATAAAAATTAGATATTACTGAACCATTACTAAGAAGTTCATTCTGAAAATTATTATCTGGTGTGAAATGGGCATCAGAATTACTGAAATTCTATCACTGACACATGGATAATTCTGATAATTTTCTCATGGAATTTTTAAAATATCTTTCAGGGATAAAAAAGGTAGCTGAGCATTTCCTTTAGACAAAATTTGGCTAGCCCTATTACTTATAATTTTTCTAAAATGACTATCTTTCCTCATATCTTTGCTATATATATTTATATAGCAATAAAGCAGTTTTTCTGTCAAGTAAATAATTATGATCTCAAGAAAGAATGAGATGAAAAGTAGACAAGTGCCTCAATGAAAACAGATGTAAGTGATAGTAAGAATGAAAGGATTAAGATACCTTTTTGTCAGTATTATCAAGATAAAGTATATCTGATCAAGTAGTTAATGTCTTTAGAAATTGCATTTGATATGAATAGCCTACTAATTACAGAGAATGCCTGGGCTTTGCTACCATAATTTCCATAGCTTAGTATATTAGTGAAATGCAAGAATTCATCAATAAGATATTTTAAAGCGTTCTGTACTAAAAAAAAGGAATGAGTCTGTCATATCTACAGTATGAGGATTCTAAAATAGAAACAACTAGAATTCAATCAAATTAATACAAAACTAGAACTGTATTTCATTATAAAATAAACAAAATCATCTTTTGAAATTTGAAGCTAACCTCTTTTCTTCTCCCCACCTCCATTAGTGAAGATAGCTTTACTAGAAGGTATTTGAGACACCGTAATTTTTTTTATCATGTCTGAAGTTTATTTCACTTGACATGCCTGAGGCACAGAAAAGCAGCACAGGGGAAAGTGCAAATGATCTCATTTCTAAGTTAATCACTGAGAAATATCAGATAAGTTTCGAATTTTTAAGCTTAACCTATTTTAAAGAGAAGATAAAATACTTTTTAAAAAGGAATTTTACTGGTACAGGGAACTCCTAGATGTGGAAATTTCCTCTATCAATGCAGGTCAGAATGTGCTGTATAACTTACAGAATTTCTTAGAACAATGATAGGCTGAGTGACTTGCCTGTGATCACACAGTCATTGTGTCAGAGGTGGGACACGAACCAAGTTATATTACATCTGAGACTGGATTTCTATCTACTATGGCACACTGCCTCTTATGAGGAAAGGGAAAAAATGTTCTAGTTACAGCCATAATTTAACACCATTACTTGGCTAAATACTTAATGTAGGATCTGGGAAATCATAAAAATCACTTCCTACCTTTGGGGCTCTGGCATGTTTCCCACATCTGGCATCCTTGACAAGGCTGAGATCTAAGAGCTCAGTCTCCTGAAAGACAAAAGAGCAATTTGTAAGCATCCACAGAGGAAAAAAACTGCTTTAGCACTTTTTTTAAATAGTGTCTTGATCAACTGTATGAAGATGGTTCTGTTTTCTGAGTATTTTTTTTCTTTCTGTCTCTTTCCTTTCTTACATAAGACTGCATGCAAACAAAAACCAAAACTTATGAACTATTTTTAATTAATATATTTTGATTTATCAACAATCACTTCCATATGCTTTTGAGTTTAAAATTTTTCTCCCCTTTCCTCTCCACCTCTCTCCCCAAAATGGCACACAATCTGATATAGGCCATACATATACATTCCTATCAAACATATTTTCACATTAGTGATGTTGTAAGGAAGAATTAGAACCAATAGGAGGAACCACTAGAAAGAGGAAACAAAACTCAACAGAAGAAAAAAAAATAGCAAATAGTATGCTTTGATCTGCATTCAAACTCCATAGTTCTTTCTTTGGATGTGGATAGCATTTTCCATCACAAGGCCTTTAGAGATGTCTTAGATCCTTGTATTGCTGGGAAGGGCTAAATTTATCAATATTAGCCATCGCATAACATGGCTGTTATTGTGTACAACATTCTCCTGGTTCTGCTCACTTCACTCAGCATCATACCATACAAGTCTTTCCAAGTTTTTCTGAAGTCAGCCTGTTCATCATTTCTTATAGCACAATAGTATTCCATGACATTCATATACCACAACTCGTTCAGCCATTCCCCAATTGATGGGCATTCTCTCAATTTCCAATTCTTTACCACCACAAAAAGAGCTGCTATAAATATTTGTGTTCATGTGGGTCCTTTTCCCATTTGTATGATCTCTTTGGGATATAGCCCTAGAAGTGCTATTGCTAGGTCAAAGGATATGCACATTTTTATAGCCCTTTGGGCATAGTTCCAAATTGTTCTCCAAAATGATTGGATTGTTTCACAACTCCACCAACAATGCATTAGTGTTCCAATTTTCCCACATCTTCTCTAACATTTATCATTTTCTTGTTTTGTCATCTTGGCCAATCTGATAGGTGGGATGTGGTACCTCAGAGTTGTTTTGATTTGCATTTATCTAATCTAAATCTCTAAGTGATTTTGAGCATTTTTTCATATGACTATAGATGACTTTAATTTCTTCATCTGAGAACTGCCTGTTCATTTCCTTTGACCATTTATCAATTGGGGAACGACTTGTATTCTTATAAATTTGACTTAACTCTCTATATATTTTAGAAATAAGGCCCTTATCAGAGAAACTGGTTGTAAAAATTCTTTCCCAATTTTCTACTTTCCTTCTAATCTTGGTTGCATTGGCTTTGTTTGTGCAAAAGCTTTTCAATTTAATGTAATCAAAGTTATCCATTTTGCTTTTTGAAATGTTCTCTATCTCCTGTTTGGTCATGAATTCTTCTGTTCTCCATAAATCTGATAGGTAAACTATTCCTTGTTCTCCCAAGTTGCTTACAGTATCAGCCTGTATATCTAAATCACGAACCCATTTTGACTTTATTTTGGTATATGTTGTGAGATTTTGATCTACGCCTAATTTCTGCCATACTCTTTCCCAGTTTTCCCAGCAGTTTTTGTCAAAGAGTGGGTTCTTATCCCAGAAGCTGGGGTCTTTGGGTTTATCAAATAATAGATTACTACAGTCATTGACTACTGTGTTTTGCATACTTAACCTATTCCACTGATCCACCATTCTATTTCTTAGCCAGTACCAAGCAGTTTTGATGATTGCTGCTTTATAATACAATTTAAGATCTGGAATGGCTAGGCCACCTTCCCCTGCATTTCTTTTCATTAGTTCCCTTGATATTCTGGACCTTTTGTTCTTCCAAATGAATCCTGTTATTATTTTTTCTAACTCTATAAAATAACTTTTTGATTGGTATGGCACTGAATAAGTAAATTAGCTTAGGTAGAATTGTCATTTTTATTATATTAGCTCAGCCTACCCATGAGCAACTGATGTTTTTCCAATAATTTAGATCTGACTTTATTTGTATGAAAAATGTTTTGTAATTGTGTTCATATAGTTCCTGGGTACTTATGAACTATTTAGACTGCTTTGCAGACTAAATAAATTTTTTTCAATATAAAGTCCACTGTTTTTGTCCCATACACATAACCCATTAGTTACCACCTTTTGGCCAAAATCCAGTGATCTTTTCTACACCACTCTCCTTAACCCTATACAAGATTTAAGCTTTAAGTAGGGAGCTGATCACTTTAGCTTTTCTCTCGTTCCTGGCTTCTTCATATTCTGCCCTCAGCCTCTCTCTTCTCTCTCTCTGTCTCTGTCTCTGCCTCTCTCTCTCTCTCTTTTTCTTTCCCCTAGTGTTTGAGACTAGATTTCAATCCAAGTCTTCTTGACTCCAAGTCCAGTACTTTATCCACTGTACCACCTAGCTGCAGCTACTATTTACTTGAATTGGACACTTGAACCTCAATATATTCAGAACTGATCTTATCTTTCCTTTAAACCTGTTCCCTCTTTGGACTGTGCTATTACTGTCACTAATACCAATATTCACTCAATTGACCACTTTCTGAATCTTGAAGTTAACATTGACTATCCCTCTATCCCAACATGCCAAAATCCAGTTGATACTCACATCACAATATCTTTTAGAACCATCCATCCCCTCCTCTCTAATTCTTCTGTAACTACAGTAGTGCAGTCCATCATTGCCAGACGTTTAGCTTCCCTATTTCTATTCCGTTTCTCCTCCAAATTATCCCTCAGCATCACTGCCTCATTAATCTTCCTACTGTGAAAATCTGGGTATGACACTCCCCTACTCAAAGCCTTGCAAAGGCTCCCTTATTGTCTATCAGTTGGTCAGTCAGAATTCATTAAGGGCCTACTATGCACCAGCCATCATGCTAAGTTTTGGGGACACAAATAAAGGCAAAAGACATTTCCTGCCCTTGAAAATCTCTAATAGGGGAAACAACAAATAAATATATACAAACATGGGCAACTAGTGATGCAGTGGATACAGCACCAGGCTCGGAATCAGGAAGATTCATCCTCATGAATTCAAATCCAGCCTCAGACACTTACTAACTCTGGGACCCTTGGCAAGCCACTTAAACTTGTTTGCCTCAGTTCGTCATCTGTAAAATAAGCTGGAGAAGTAAATGGCAATTCATTCGCTATCTTTGCCAAGAACACACCAAAAAAGGTCACAAAGAGTCAGACATGACCTGAAATGACTCAATGACAAAATGTACAAACATGATACCTTCAAAATAAATATGAAATGATTAACAGAGGGAAGGCACTAGAATTAAGAGGGACTGAGAAAATCTTCCCATAGAAGGTGGGATTTTAGCTGGTTCTTAAAGGAATCTAGTGAAGCCAAAAGGCAGGGAAGGAAAGCATTCCAGGTATGGGAGACAGAGAAAATGGAATTTAAACTAATTCTTAGCCCTAGCATTAAAGGATCATCCCAATTTTGTACCATTAAATTTATGCTACATGGTTTCTCTCTAATACACTACTTGTGCTCCAGTCAACTTGTACTACCTCAATTTCCCCTTTATATATACAATGCTATTTGACTTCTAAGGCTTTGTCTCATGCAGGGAATATCCTCTCCTTATCTACCTATTGAAATGCTATATATACTTTGACTTGCTATTCAAATTTCATCTCTCTCAATATAGTCTTCCATAATCTATGCAGTCAGTAATGATATTTCCCTTTCTATGTCTTACAGTCAATCAATAATCATGCAGCAAGCAGGTATGTTCTAAGCATCATGCAAATGGAGATAATACCTGGGTTGTTGACATTACAGGACTATTGTGATACAAAGTGCCTTACAAACTATAAGACACCATATAGATGTTAACCATTATAATTATTAGTAATAAGCATATTCCCAAAATGTCACATTTTCACTTGAAATGGAAAGATTTTTCCACTTACATGTATATTTTAATAAATAATATAATAATAATAAATATTTTAATAAATTTTATGATAATTCTAACTAGTAAAAAACACATCAATTCAAAGGTACAAAGACTACAAAAATTTGTTCTTGCAGGCTAGAATAATATGCTTTGCAATTTCAAAAGGATTTAGGATAGTGATACTCCCTCAAGTTTCTAGGATAGAATGAAAAAAATGAAGCAATCCCTACTCTCAAAGAGTTTATGTTTTATCTATTCTTCATCTCTCTTATTTAGTCACCATATACTGTTTTGTCATGAATGAGTGGTGTAATGAAAAGTTTTGGTAACTCGTAAAAATACTGAAAAAAGAGCTAGATACTAAAAAATTTTCATGTATCTTCAGTGCTATCTATAGGAAGTGGTTCCCTGACTGCTAAAAAAAAGTATTTGAATCTATATGGTAACATTCACACTAAACTTTAGGGTTATCCAACTCCCCTTATTTCAAGCCTATACTTGCTAAGCAACATTCTGGTATAATTATGGATTGCCAAGGGGAATTTCCTCCCCTAATGAAGGCACTGATAAACCAACAGTAGTATTCTAGTTTATATGGTACTCCTATTTCTCAGTATCAATAAATATATCAGCATTCAGCTTTATTAGTCTATTAGAGTTTGGGCAGCTTGAACGAGGCCCCCAGAGCCTTTCATTCCTATGTGACCTGATAAAACAGGGGTCTTGAACCTGCAGAGCTCAGGATATGATCCTGGTGGTGAATCCACCAATGCAGATTTTACTTGAAAGTACTGATCTCTTTACACTGTCTCCCAACTACAAAAAAAGAAAATATAAATACATAGTAAATTTTACACAGAATGATTATTTAAATGAGGGTTATATGACCTGCCAGTTAGGAGCTGTTTTATAGTGACTATTAAAGAAAATTCATATGGGCTGAACAAGCACTACAGTATTAAACAGATTCTATTTTACTTCTTTTTTTTTTACAGATACAAAGGATGCTTGCAGAGCATTAGAACATGGGGAAGTTATCATGTAAATATTTTATTGGTGATAA